TGCAAAGTGAGAAAATTGTGGAAGGGTGTCCAAGCCTATAATTTGATCCATGAACGATCATGCCCAAATCTGACTTCACAATTATTGATCCAATATCGATCGTCAGTCCCCTTTGAATGTAGTAATTCAAAATAACACTTTCTTTAGAAACTTTATCGATCTTAATTGTTGGTAACAGTTTCGCGAAAAAGTGCCAATGTTTCGAAATGGGATTTAGGAGTGTTGCAGAAAAACTAACATACCTGTTTTCTCTCATTTCCCAGTCGTCAGTTTCGTCCGTTAAATATTGGTAAATTTCATTCATCTGGTCTCATGTTGGGACAAAGTTGGAATAGTGGCAGGCAGGAATGTTCTCGTTCATGTATAATTCATTGATTTGTGCAGGAGTGAAAGTTACCCATCTACCTCTTACATAAACAACACCCTGGTTGATTCCGTGTAAATTTGCATAAAATTCTTTTACCACAGGAACAACCACGGCGCAGTAGTATAGCACAGCACTTCCCATCTTTGACGCACTATCGTTTCTTCAATTGTCGTCGATGGATTATTCAATCCACAATTTACGAATCCTCGTTCCTTGATCAATCTTTTCTTCGTCAGTACCTTATTGAAGATTCGATGCGCTTCCGCACTAATAAACTTTTACTGATTGAAAACTCGCATTCTGGGATTATCAAGGGAATTGGACGCCATATGAATGAAATTGGTGGAGTTTCACTTCGCTTTTGGGGGAAATATGAACTAGGAATCGAATTTGGGAGTTTAAAAGGGTAACTCCTGCCCAAAAACAGCCAAAAATCACCATTCAAACTCCAGAAACAGCCATCTCGCCGGTCTCACCGTCGTCGGGGTCGAGGGCGCCGTCGGCGAGCTTCTGTATTTATTTTGCCTGGACTCTCGGGAAAAACCCGTCGGTGGCGGCGTCGAGGGCGCCGTTGGTGCCCAAGGCAAAAATTGCACCGTTTCGCTCTTATATTTCGCTCTAATTCGAATGTGTTCCAATTTTTCTCTATGGATCCAATTTTTATGATGATTCAAGGATAAATAAGAGTAGTAGAGCTTAATACTACCACAAATAAATGATAATTTCAAATAAAAACTACTATAATCGCAATAAAAGTAAAGATAAATATGGGTTGCCTCCCATAAAGCGCTTGGTTTAACGTCGTCAGCCCGACCTATTCAGGTGTTATTTTTGTTGACTGAACATTAAAACCTCTTTAAAATTTGGTCTTTCACCCTCAAAATACGGTTTTAATTTGTGTCCATATACCTTAAATCTATTTTCAGTTTTCTGATCTTCAATCTCAACAGCTCCGTAAGTATAAACTTGAGTTACAGTAAACGGTCCTAACCAACGAGACTTCAATTTCCCAGGAAGTAAATTCAGCCTAGTGTTGTAAAGCAAAACTTCTTGGCTTGGTTCAAAGTTCTTCTGGTTAATCTTCCGATGAAGATTAAATCATCACCTAAGTAATCTGTAGCACGAACTTCTGTTTCCACTCGGTCCAAAACAAAGCTTGTGTTGTAAACATAAGTCTCATCTAACAACTTAATCTCAAAGTCAGTGAGGATCGATCTTTCGGTGGTTCTAACCAATCCAAAAATTTGAGGAGAATATTTGAGGGCCATCAAGTTTCAAAAACAAAGCGATGAAAGTCAGGCAGAGCAAATAATGTAAAATTTTCACTTAACATCTTTTGAAATTTATTCATAGACCCTTTTTTGGAAGCCGAAGCATGATATTAGTTTCTGTCAAAAGTGTCATATCAACACAAATTTTGAGAAAATTCATAATTGCCCAAATTATGGATAATTTTTTTTTTCATAGTTAGAAACATTTTACAGTCAGGTCATCAGCCGCCTCAGGCAAGATCAAAATCTGGTTCATCAAACTGGAATACAACACATGTTTCCTAGATTTATAATATCTAGTGAAAATATTTTTCATTAAAATATATATATATATATACATACATACATAAGCGTTACAACGAGATAAAGCTTGCGCTTCAATCCACTTAGAAACGTAGTCTACTGCAATTAATATATATAAGTTCTCAAATGAAGGAATAAATGGTCCCATAAAATCTAATCCCCAAACTTCAAAAATCTCAACTTCTAACATGAAATTCAGAGACATTTCATTTCTTTTAGATATATTGTCTACCCGTTGACATCAATCACAAGTTTTTATGTATCTATAAACATCTCTAAAGATAGTAGGCCAAGAAAATCCAGCTTGTAAAATTTTATAAGCAGTTTTATTAATCCCAAAATGTCCTCCAAATTCAAAATCATGAAATTTCTGAATGATCACCTCACTTTCTTCATAAGGTATACATCTTCTCATAATCAGATCCTTACATTGTTTATATAAATAAGGCTCATCCCAGAAATATGTTTTCGCATCATGAATGAATTTCCTTTGTTGTTGTAGTGTCAGCATAGGTGGCAAAATATCACTTACAATATAGTTAATAATATCAGCATATCATGGTATTTTCCACTCATTAATATTATAAAGTTGTTCATCAGGGAAACTGTCTATAATTTTATTGTCAATGATTCATGATTTTCTAATCTTGACAAATGATCAGCAATTTGATTATCAATTCCCTTTTTATCAATAACCACAAGATCAAATTCTTGCATCAAAAGTATTCATCTAATCAACATTGGTTTGGCATCCTTCTTTTGCATTAGATAATTAATAACAGAGTGATCAATGTGCACAACACATTTAACTCCAATTAAATAAGATCTAAATTTATCTAAAGCATACACAATGACCAGTAACTCTTTTTCAGTAACAATATAATTAATTTGTGTATCATTAAGAGTTTTACTAGCGTAGTATATAACTTTAAAAATCTTTTCATGCCTTTGTCCAAAAACAACAATTTAAAACTTGATATGATATCTTGCAAGTTGATTCAGGCAGATTGGATGCAGTGCTCAACATTAGCTGAGCTTCATAAACTGGAATTAACTGAAAATTAAAACATTTATAATCTGGTTGAGTCAAATCAAAATAACTTTTATTCCCAAATCCTATTTATAATGATCTTTTATTTTTAGGAAGATTTAATTACATACCCATGTATTTAATTATTTACCTGTATGCCATGGAAATCCTGAGCGTCCAAAAACGTCGCTCGGGAAAGAAATCGGCGTGGGGCGAAATCGCTCTCAGAACTCCCGCCTAATCTTCCGTCTCCTCTCTTCAGGAGTCGCTGGCCTCACTTTTGTAGCCCTAAGGAGAGTGCGAAATCTTCTGGTCTTTCCTCCGGGGCGAGTGGAAGGTTGCCATGGTAAGGCAAAATTTTTTGCAAAATTTCTTAATGTCAGAATGGGGAGAGTCGTCCTCCTCTTCCTCCACCTTTTCTTCGTCCTCATCGGCAGCATTGGCGGCCCGCTCTGGATCCGTGCTTTATTTTTGATATGTCGGAAATTGCAGGTGGTTCTCGGGTTTCCGCCAAACAGCGACCATGTACCTTGGCTTTCATAGGGCAGGTATTTCGAGCACATTCCCCTCTTGCCTCTTTATAAGGAAAATAAATTCTGGAAGTAGAAGGATGAGAAGTTCATTGCGACCAGGTGATTTATCCGAAATGATTTATGAATTTCTGTGATTTGAGAAGTTTTCTTTTTTATTATGAAAAAAAAAGTTGGTATTTCTCACTTTCTCGGTTAAATTTTATGAAAATTTGTAAATTGCTCATTTAAGATTTCAGTTTTTTTTGTGATTTTATCTTGCTGTCATGTTCTTTTCATAAGCAATGCATCTATGCTTCTGTAATTAAAGTTCTACACAACCATAATTGAGACTAGACCTTATGTGAATGAGAGTTCTGTTTCTTCTCATATTTTATTGTGATCTTCTTAATAAAATTTGATTGATCTCGGAAGGGCAACTTGAAACTCACAAAAGATCTTTTAAAGGATTTGTCTACTTCATCATAGGTAATTTCTATGCGACTTTCAGAATTCCTAACAATTTAAACACCCACTTGTAGTTCTCATCTACAAAGCCAAATATTTGATCATGAGCTAACTCTCTTGATCTCCATAGTTTCATATATGGTAAAGATAGTCCAAATGCTTGTCCAAATGCTTTCTCTAAGCTATTTTAAATTTGTTTTGGTGGGATGTTTGTTTGTTGCTTAATAATATCTTGAATCTCATTAGCAACCCACTCACATGTAGCTTGTTTATTCCGTTTATTCCCAACCCTATTAACACCTATTAACACTCTGACAAGAGTGCAATTTTTTTAATTTTCTGCTTTCAAAAGTTTGGCCATCTCTACACAATGCATCCCTGATTTTCTATGGGTACCCTCTTTGTGAGCAAGTCGCTATGACCCTTGTCTTATCACTTGCAATAATCTTAACCACAAAATTCTCTTTAGTAGCTTTGCATTTTATAAAATGATTGAATCTCGTCTGATCAACAAAATGACTACCAAAAGTTATCTAATTAACATTCGCAATATTACTATTATACGACACAATATTATACGAATCAAATTCAACCACACCTCTATGAAAACCTTTAGAAATTAACTCATGATTCTCTCGCATGTTACCTTGAATTTCTATTGCAACTAAATCTATTTAAATTTCTAAATAATCTTCTACCACAATTAATATCTCAACACGTCCACAATAACTAGATAACCTGGTCATTTCTTCCAAGTCATGGTCAGATGCGATGAGTATATACACTTTAGAATATGTGTCATAAATCTAGTGGTATAATTCATAAGTAGACCCTCATAGCCAAATGCAAATCATCTCAACCTCATTTACAAAGTTAAGCAAATCTTTGTCTATCTTAACTGTCTTTTGTTTTCCCCCTTTATATTTTCTTCGACTTGTACTCTTCACATTACTCTAAAAATCACCAAATTTGAAGGTGCAATGAATCTATTTTCTCATATTGGTTATCCCTAAACAAATGTAAAGATAAGTAATAATGAAATATTCATAAAAAAATATAAATTTTAAAAAAACAAAACAGTTAAAATTTTCCTGCAAATGATACATTCTGCAATAACTTTTGTCATCTCTTATTAAACTAAATATCCAACCAAACAAGCTCTCAAGGCTCAACAAACCAACGTGATATTCTCTTTCTAAAACATGAAGAACATAGAAATATGCAGTGAAGTCATGGAAAATACAATAAAATTCTAGTCACAGGGAAATTTTCTTTCTTTAATCAACATAAAAACATCATATCCCTTCCCCAAAAAAATTGAAATGATGCCTTTATCATCATATCCTTTCAATTTCATAATAGCATCGTCATATCATTTCAATTATTTTTGAATCATCCTCACAAAAAAAAAATGAAATCTGAACTGAAAAGTTTAAAAATTTTCATAAAATTTAATTGAGAAAGTGAAAAATCCTAAATGACTGAAATTCATAAATCATTTCAGATAAATCGTTTGATCCCAATGAACTCCCCATCCTTCCGTTTCCTAAATTTGTTTTTTTTACAAAAATGGTACGAGGGAGCAGTGCTGGAATACCTTTTTTATGAAAGTCAAGCTACATGATCGCTGTATGACGGAAGCCAGAGAACCGCCTGCAATTTCTGTTGTCAAAAAGTAACCATGGATCAAGAACGGGCCGCCAATGTCGCTGATGAGGATGAAGAAGTTGTTCAGGAAGAGGGAGGAGGCTCTCTTCATTCTGAAGTTGAGAATTTTTGCGGACTCCGGACAATATTTTCTCAAGGGGAACAATAGAGAGAAAAGTGCAAAGTCGTGTATTTTCATCGTCTATTTGTAAATGATAAAATCTATTTGTAACACGTGAAAATATGAAAGTTTTATGTGGTGTAGAAGTAAAAATCTCTTTTTTTTAATAAGACGCTTGTGCATGTACGTGAGTAGAAAGCTAGGTCCTCGCTACTTTCAGCGTGGCGCTATTTCAACCACAGTCATTTGTCAGCGCGGGAGATGCTTTAAATAATTGAGAGAAAATAAAATAACGTTGGAATGAAATTTCAATTTTATAATATATTGTGAGCTTTACAATGTGTAAATTTTATTCCAATTTCATGATTTAGTTAATGAAAATATATTTAATGAGAAATGGTCCAAAATGCTGCCTCAAGATCCGTTTTATGGCTCGAGATTCATGTCGGATGATGGGCATTTGTTGATGGCATATCAAACTTTTCATGCATAAGTTTATGACTCCAAAATGTTATGAGTAGAATATCAATTTTTTGTGGTGTTAGATATCTAAATATATAAGAATTGTGTGGTATGCATGTTAATTTTATTTTTTTCCTTTTAAGGAAATTCAGATTAGAACATTCTGATTTAGATCAAATTATGATAGGTTTTTTTAATCATTGAATTTGAATTAAATTGGGTATTGTATACATTATTAAATTAGCTCTTATATTAAACAAACTTTAAATAAATTTAATAGCTAAAATTTATCCGATGATTTTTTTTATTCGCGTGTTAAAGATATTATTATTATTTTTGGAATATAAAATAATAATACAAAAAATAGTATCTTTAATGGTATTTACGCGTGCATCAATTTGATTTAAATTAAATTCTGTATTTTAATTTTAGTTGTATTGCCAGATGATTTAAATTATCCTATCATGCATGACACAAAAAAAAAATATATTTTTTTTAAGATAATTTTTTATATTTAGTTTAAATCGATGAATTTTTTTTTATTAAATGTATTATTTGGGATAAAATAAATTCATAAGTGACAATATTATTACATAGAAATTAATAAACTATTTTGAAATTTGTTTCATGTAATTCGGGTTAGTAAAACTATCTATCTTCAGGGTAATTAATGCATAAAATTATTTTTTTTATTGTAAGATTTACATATATGTCATTCAATTCTTATGTATTTACAAATCAGACACCTAAACTCTACGAGATATAGCAATTTCAATCACAGCCACTTGTCAGATACTTAAATGTAATTGAACGCTGAAGATACTTAAATGTAATTGAAAAAAATAAAACAATGTTGGAGTAAAATTTCAAATTTATTCCACGTGCATCATCACTATTTTATACTAATTTCATGATTTATTTAGTGCAAATATATTTAAAAAGAAATGGTACTCCAAAATGGGAAAATTGTTCTATATCTGGACTCCTAACTTAGAGACGTTTTTGGAGTCCACTGATATGCGGACACGTGGCTTTAAGTAAACGCACACGTTTTTCAATGATCCGACCTTATGACACAAGAGAATTATCCTCCTGTGTTATTTCGCGTTTTTCATGTGTTATTGTGGTGATATTGATGTGTTATTGTGTTATTATAACACTGATAATATTCTCAAAATACAATAACACATGAATATTACCACAATAGTACATGAATAATGCAGAATAACACGGAGGGAATATTCTCTTGTGCTAAAATATTTTTTTTTATTTTTTTGTCACCTCTACGTGACGTCATTTCATTTGACTCCTAATATTTGTTCTCCAAAATGGGTACGTTTTAGGCATGTGGGAAAATTGGGATTTGGGGATTGTATAATTATGAAACGGCCTAAACCATGATTATTGCACATGTTTCATCATAACCCTTTCTGAAATTTAATTAGCTCAAAATAATCTATTTGAATATTTAATTACTTTATAATAGTAGTTTTTCCGAGTTATATTTTATGGCTTTAATTTTTATCATAATTGAATTTTAATTAAAATATTTCGATTGATATTTCATCGAAATCAAATTTTAATTTTTGTGATAAAGTGGCGTGCTTATTTGATAAGAAATGTATATGATGCTTGTATATACCTAGCTCAACTTTTTCTCTCTCTTAATAATGACGTATCAGTTTAATAAAAAAAAAAAACTAATCAAAATATATTGGTCATAAGGATAAATTTTATATTTTGAGATAAATATAATATAAATTTTAATTAGTTTTTAGACTATAAATATATTGATTTGTCGAGAAAGTTTTTTATCAAGCACGAATATTGTTGCATTTTGTATGAAGAATTTTTTAAATTCAAATTTAAGATCATTCACGCTCTAATTTTAACAAGATTGTTGTCAGATTGACCGTCTCGCAATATAAATCCATTGATACCAAAATTTGTTCAATTCGGGTCAAATCATACCCATATTAAGTCATTAAAGCATATTTAAAAGCTTTGGATTATTAGCTGAATGGACAAATGAGCTCTAAATTTAATATCTTTATAGTTAAATCGAGCGTCTCAACAAGAGGAATCCAAAGAGTTTAAGATTGTTGAACTTTGAGGTCATTTAGGTATTTAAATTGTTAAAAAAATTATTTATGATCAAGGTGGATCAACATGGAATGTCTGATTATGTGGTTAGGAGAATTACACGCCAAAACACCAAAATGCCTCTCCTCAAAAGCCTACAAATAGCACCCCTCTTTGGGGGTCGTATAAGGACGTGTAATTTTCAGTTTAAGATTCTAATTTCATTTCTCCTTATAGCAAGAGAAGAGCGCATTCTTGCACTTAAAAACACATAGTGTATTACTTTCATTGGGTAGTCCCAACGAGTAATCATTGACTTTCAAAGCAGCCGACCACCATTGACCACCGCCCCGCCGACCATCGATAACCACTGAACAACGACTAGAAGTGTAAATGAGCTGAACACGAGCATAGCCCTCTCGTGTTCGGCTCGTTTATATTTTGAGCTCAAAAAGTATGTTTGTGTTCGGCTCGTTTGCTTAACGAGCTGTTCACGAACAAAGAGTCCTTTTAACAACCCTAATCATGTAGTCATAAAACATAAGACAATAAGGGTTTGAGCAAGATTTAAAAATTATTATTTATATTAAAACATCATTTGAATCTAATTTAATAATTTTTA